ATTTCAAAAATCGAACGATTGCTGTCATGAAGTCATAAACTGAATATATCAGGTAACCAAAGTACATCGATTAAGGACAGTACCTGCGGTCCTAATTTCTACACTCAGTTATTAAATAATCAAATACAAAAAATTTAATCCAAGATACAAATGGGTGTAGCATATCGTTAGTCCTATGTTGACTCGTAGACGTATATATATACTAATTATTAACATATAATTTAATAACAATTGTCGGCACTCAATATGTTTTTCTATTCGTGTACTTATTTGTAAGAGGTTGTTAATTATAATGGTTCGTATTGCATGAACTGTACAGTAATCCATTGGTTGGCTTAATGACCAGCGCCGGCAGCGGAGCGTTTTCGTTAATTAAACGCAAACAAAGACGACTGCCTTTACTTCGTTATGATCAAACACATTAGCGGGGATTTGCTGGCACTCACAGTTACTTCCGTGGACCCAGATCTTCGTTTCGTTCGTTCCTTTGTCGGCCGACGCATAATTTCTTACTCATTTTCCTTTCTGTTAAGGGTTATTAAAATTAACAGTAGATATCATGTTTTACGTGCAAAAAAAAAAAAACAGAAACTATTAAGGAAAACTTTATGTTTTAAATAGATATGTTTTTGCCATTACTTTGTATTTTTCAGATTATTGAGTACGTACAGTATTTAATAGGGAGTTATTGGATGTGTGGCTCAACTCTTCTATAATAGTCGATGGATGAGGAGGAAAAGGACTACATAGATTCATATTCAGCAGTGATCAATACAGGATAATGATGTTTTGTACAATATGACTACTACTACTTACACATTGGTAGTATGTATTTATTTTATATATATATCAATATCAACTTCCAAGCAGCAGTATTTCCGAACTGGTACGACGTACCTTTAAGAAAAGAGCATATTCCGGCAGCACGCCTGCGATGCCTCTGGTGTTGCGGATAATCATGGGTGGCAGTGGTTACTTACAACCAGGTGAGCCGCATGCTTGTTTGCCCCATGTGATAATAAATATATATATATATATATATATATATATATATATATATATATATATATATATATTCTGGTCTGACCGCCGTGCGGTGCGAACTACGCCATCTGTGAAGTTACCTCTTAACGAAACCCCGTCGGCATGGAGCCCGCTTCCGTTGAAGAGCAGCGCGTCGTAATCAATTTCTCTCGAAACTCGGCAAGAATGGCCGTGAAATTTTTGCCGATCTCAGAACAGTTTATGGGGATGATGCTGTGAAGGAACCAACCGTCCACAAGTGGCTAAAAAGATTCAGAGAGGGCCGAGACAATGTAGATTGTTTTTTTCGATGTTCGGGGGATTGTCCATCAAGAATTCGTCCCTCCAGGCCAGACAGCCTACGTCGATGTGCCTCTCGTGTGTTCGTCCAGATAATCATGCCCCTGCCCACACCTCTCTTGTTGTCCGTGAGTTTTTGAGTAAAAATTCCATTACGGTGACCGAACACCCCCCTATTCGCCGGATTTGGTTACTTACCAAATTGGTACCACATAAATGAGATAAAAAAAGCTACGACGGGGCATGAGAAACCTACAACCAGAGGACTTTCAAGGAGCCTTCTCACAGTGGAAACGGCGTTGGCACATGCATTATGTCATAAGGGGATAAAATATTTATATAATATATATATATATATATATATATATATATATATATATATATATATATATATATATATATATATATATATAAACTTTTATAAAGAATATCTACTCATTGTTCTTGGAAACGTCTGCGTACCTATTCTCGTGGCCGAGTGCATCACAGCGTGAAAGTCGATTACCGTGGTCATTAGTCCCCAGTACTCAGACTAATTAATACAACGTTTTGAATAAAGCTTCGGGATAAGATTCCTCACGGCGGCGATGAGAAAAATCAGAAATTTAATTAAAAAAGTTTAAGTGAGTTTTCACGGGCGAGCGTGCGCCTCGCTCTCAATAAGTCAGGCACATTTTATTCGTTTTGGAACCAAATTCCTTAAGGGGGGCTTACCAACTGTAATTAACCACTTTTAATACCACCTCTCGGTTTCTAACAACAGATCTAAAAACATACTTCTACTTTCTACATTCACAAACTTTACTAATTAGATGTTTTATATTATTATTACTTACTTATTTTAGATTTGCCAATAATCGCTTATTTTATATAATTGTTTAGGCTGGTCACAGGCCAATTCCAATTTCTAAGTTGATTCGGGCCTAATTGTTCTAGTTTGTGCTCCCATGTTTTCTTATCTGATATGCGATTACAAGTTATCTTAGTTTAATAATCAGGCGATTCATGTGATTATGAAGTATTTATTATTCTTATTAATTATGGATATAAATTGGAATAGGTTTTCAAATGAATTAAGTCTTACTTATGAATAAACTAAAACGTTCTCATTACCAATAAAACTATTTTGAGTGAGTATAAAACAAACGGCGGTGTTATAGCGTGTCAATCATTAGACACTCCGTCGGCGCGAGCGGCGACGTCTTCGTTGAATAGGTCTCGAAAAGCCGTACACGTTTTTGTGAGCTCATTAAAATTACATTACTACACTTATTTAAACAGCAAACAACTAAACGAGGCATCGTTAATGCGTCTCACCGGAGAGAATTTGTGGACATTTCCATCTGGCGAGGTACACAACAGTAGTTGAATCTATACGTATTATACATATATCTACGTAGAAGATAATAATAAACTCAAAACAATAATAAACGTAACATAATATCTATTTTTTATGGTCGTCATGTAATGTAATAGGTAGGTATATCCAATAATGACAGAATTTATTTGAAATATTTATCGAGTTCATAATTAACTTGTAATGTTTTCGTTTATGTAATTAATGATTATTATAATATTCATTAATTTAAGACACGTTTATGGTTAGACACGTTTCGTTTGTACTATTCAATACTGTAGCAATCAGTATTACAAAATATTATTATAATTACTTCAATTAATATAGGTACCTATTTAGTGATAACGTGCATATAGACATGAAGGTACTTAAGTTGTATAGTAAAAATACGAATATGTTCAGAGAACATTCATACTTTTCTACAGTTCTGTGTTCACTCTTTGTTTGACAACGTAATGTATTTTTAAGCGATTTTAAAAAGATGCTTTTCGTTGTGTTAGGCCATTGCTTGCCAATTAGCATCTTTCAGAGTCTACATTTACCTTTAAAAATTCCTAATATTAAATCCATCTCAAATGTGAGAATTCCGTTAAGTGCTTTACACAGATGATACTACAAGTAGGTATATTTTTGACCAGTAATTAAATGAAATTAAAAGTCGTACAAGAAAAGTATTAAAATGCTTGTTGTACTGTAAGTGTTATTATTTTTATGCACCTTATACACCGTTGTTGGTAAAAAATCTGGTATCCTAGCCGCTAAATCATACCAGAATTGTAATGATCACACTCTTATTGTTAAGCAGTAGCATAGGAGAGAATTATTGATTGATATAAGTACGTTTTTCTAATATCTAAAACTATGAATCATCCTAGAAAGTATATAAATATGTAAATTCGTGTTTTTGTTAAGATCTAATCAGTTAGTTAAATATTTTGAATAATGTTTTTAAATATCATTATAATAAAATATCTATTAACACAGCCAACCACCTAGCTATTAGTTCCCGTATGGCCTTAATGCATAGCGGTTTTTAGTTTATGCCTAATTTTATGCAATACTGTAGAAGAGTAACGGTGGCGCATAAAATATTCATGAATTTTTTGTACTTATATCAAATTATACATGTATATTAGATAAGTATATATACATCATAATAGTGACTAGGTATCTACAAAATTCCAGTTGTTCGTAATATTATTATTTGTATAGATATCTCCACATATACATATTAACGTTTATTCGTATGTCATCTTTATCCATACAGGTGTTTTTGGAAGGTAGATAATTTTCTACTTTGGTAATATGGTCTCTTTGAAATATAAAATATAGTTTAACCCTACAGTTGTTAAATTATTAGCATTATTTAATGAAAATATTATGATAATGAGATGTAAAGTTACTATGATCATAAATTAGAACATTTTTAGATATTTTATTAGCATTATTAATTCAATTGCAGATTAATGGTCTAGACAGATACCAATTTGTGATCTTTTATGTAAAAATTGCTACTTTCCAGTTAATGTTGTGCTTGTAGATGACACCGAATACTTGCTGATTAAAATATTTATTTTTTACTTTTAGAATGCACTTCTAAAATTATTTTGAAATAGCAATACAATATCATATTTTATTATTTCCTTTAAATGTGAGTTTGTTAAAATGTTTGAATATTTGTTCCTAAAACTAAAAGATAACATTAGATACTGTTAATATAATATAAAAGTCTTTTATACTTATTTCGCGAGCAAATTCATGTTATAAAGCTGACGTTATTATTATTTCATTTTCTGTGTTGTAAATTTTTTTTATTTTATTTTTTTAGGACCACGAACAAGATTACAATACAATATAAATTTATAACCATATATCTTATATTTATGACATGGTATTATTGTAATCCCAGCACTGCTGGTCACAGTTTGGGTATATTAATGTTTAACTTTGTGGAATATATTGTGATAGCGTGTACATAAAAAATTTACAGTATTTCTTAGTATTTATCTTAATCTAACTAAAATTTAAAAACAATGTGTATGAATTTGCTAATTTTGTTTCATTATGCGAAAATGAAATAATAATTTGTGCGTGCATATATACACACAAACGCACACGCACACGCTAACGCAGACGCACATGTACATGCACAGGCACACACACACACACACACACACATACACATATATATTATAAACAGGGATGATCATAGATTGGCCTGGCGCGTTAGACTAATCATTTAATATATACCTTATCATAATGGTTTTATGATAAAACAAACTGAATAACATAAAACAGGTTAAATTACGAATGAAACAAGTTTGTGTAATCATTAAATAAATATATTTATTTACATAGTAACGGCAAAATGAAATAATCTGTCGATGTTTATGAAAGTCCGAAACATTTTATTCTGTTCTCTTATTAATTGTAGGTATTAGACGTTGATATTTTATTCTAACCAATATTCTAATTAACGACAGTTCAAATTTTTTACATAAATACATCTTTTTATCGTAAAAATCTTTAATTTACATATTTATTTATATCTTAGAAAACTTTAGCATTTATTTACCTACACTGTTTCTTTTTTTCAATCAACATAGTGTTTAGCAAATTTTTAACAGATAACTTTACATGTACAGGCGCGAACAACATTCACTGAAGCTGTGGCAAAAATTGTAACACAAAATTACAAAATATCTTAAACAGTTTAACCTTTATACAGAGGTACTTAACTAACCGTTGCACCGCTTCTGAGTACCAGATATATCACTATTAATCTATAATCGGAGCTCACTCGTTTAGTCTATAATTAAAATTCTTTTAACGGAAACTTATCTTTGGTAAAAAATAACATTATTATACATAACCGATCAAAAAATAAAAATTAAGAAATCATGTTCAATAAACTTCATACCTTGTATGATAACAATGTTTATGTTTCTAAATGTACACACAATTCCATAACAATGAGATCGATTTCATTAATTACATTTTAGAGTCTGGACCTGAATCGTTGTATGATGAAATTGGTACAAGCAGTTACAAAAACTGTTTTCATATAAAAAACTTGCAAAATATTGATTTGTTTACAATTGATTCCACATAATTCATTAAGAGGGCGCAACCTGTAAAGCTGCCAACATCTAAATATCTGTCATACTTTAAATGAATTGATGTTTTGTACCTATTGCTTGATGATATCTAATGTAATGTAAGTAGTAAATACTGAAAGGCCGCCAATTTTACGGGAAATGTCCTCTTATCAACAACTTTTCTGCTTGTACCCTTTATGCATATTAAATTGGAATAACGTATGTGCCAAATAACATGCATGTTGGTATCTCCAATATTTCTACCATTGAGGAATAAGGAGGTTGGCTAAATTGGCTAAGCGCAAGACATGGTCGATACCATATAGTAAAAGCGAGAGCGCGCGTCCTACCCACGCGACGCCTCTATCTTAAACATGTAAACAAGTGCTCAAATCGTATACATAATGGAAATATCGTGTTCTGACAACGTTATCGCGACTCATCCCGGACACTTTGTAAAGTGGCCACATATCCATGGCCCGCCTTTAAGCCTAATGTACTCTCGTACGTCGCTTGAAAAATACGCGCTTGCTGAAACGACGCCACGAAACAAATTCTGCACTTAGCCTGTTTTGCACTACGTACAGTAACAATTCAGATAGAAATTTTAATGGATTAATTACATCGGAGATTCTTTAAAATAATATTCAAAAAGACGAGTCAGTGAACTAGAAATAATACGAAAATAAATCAATGTAGCTATTTCTAAAGACAATCATTTAGTGATGGCTAAATTGTTATGATGCGGGTATGGAACGCCATTCTACTGTTCGCGTGTGGAGAGACGTTCGCCGTTTGCCAGAGATGTGCCCCGCTTCGGAACTGTCTGCGCGCGGCTGCATCTCGCCAACACTCAGTGGGGTTTCACCTGCCATACGAAAATAATATTTATATAAGTTAAATACAAAGAATATGACTTACATACATTTTCAACGACTTGAGTTTTTAAACATACCGAGGCGAGAAGTCGGCGGGGCATTGTCGGTCATCGTGCGGCATCGCACACATCGGGATCGGGCGGGCTTCCGTAGCCACTGGATGCGTCATCAGCTGCCGCACAGCCGCCACCGTCCTTGTCCACTAGTGCAACACCCGCCGGCGCTCCAGCCCCGCAGCCTCCGACACCAGCAACGTACCCACCGCTAGGTGACTGCCAACAAAATATCAACTTAACCACCGCAACATAAGGAACTAATTTAAATTCGTATCCCAATTCCCACGTCAAGCTCCCAACAGTAGACCGTGAGCGCAATCAAAAAGTCGATTAGAAATGTCGTGCGGCTGAATGGGTTTCCTCCACTCGCGCGACTCATAAAATGAAATAGATTCCCCCACATTCGCATTCCGACAAGCGTTCGTACGAGAAAGATTAATGATCACAAAAGAAACATAATAAAGTGGAGATAGAATCTCCCACTAACAGTGTCCTTGTGGGAGTTATTTACTCCGTCGAGCCGACTTTTTCACGTGGCCTTTATTTGGAGATGGAAACGTTAGAAAAAACGATGTTGTTCTATATAACTCAAAAGGTATGGTACAATTACTATAATACTTTACTATATATCTACAAATAAGACGTTACAATGTTTTTTTTTTTTTTAAACTAAGCAAAGGAGTATATTAACAGACTGTGCTGAATCGATAAGTGCTACCTACTAGAAATGACGCAAATCAACGACTAGTCCACTTATAACTGTGAGTTAATAATACTAGTTTATAGCTATTACATTAACTATAATTGAGTAAAATACTAGGCTTAAGATAAGTGTGCAAGTTTGATAAACCAATGTGAACTTCAGCATACAAAGAATATAGATACATAATTATTTATGATATAAGGAAAGATTTAAGATTATTTGTGTGAAATGTAAGAAGTATTTATTATTATTTATTTATGTATTTCAAGTAAACAGTTACATAGACAAAACATATTCTTAGTGCCGTGAAACTGCTTTGCGGTTTGTTTGCAGCTTTGCGCTCTTGTACATATACATATATCACAGAGAATATCTTCGTTATTGGGGTTTAATTTATAATATTGCCTTATGCTTCTTTTACAATGAGAATATGTGATTCCTAAAGTGGGTTCCGCGGAATTTAGAGGTTTCGTATAAAAATCACCAGGTTTCCGCGAATTTATTTATACAGTGAAACAATTTCGTTCTTCATATTAAAAATTTAAGGAAAAAATACTATAAAATTATAAAATGTTATACTTTTAAAATATTTGTAATAAAAGCTACTGCCCTATTTAAATTACAATGTTTTTGATTTGTTGTTTCTTTTGATATGGTCGAATCGTTTGATATGAGGTTCCATAAAATAAATGGTATTTGATGCGCATTCCGTTATCTTAAATGTTTAAGAACCCCGGCCTATGATATAATATATCTACTTTCATTCGCATTTTGTAAATGTAATATCAAAATTCGACGAATACATAACTTAATTAGTAAAACTTTTAGAAGTTAAGACCTAAAAAATATATTTTTACTCATAAATGATTTATTGACTTTTATAATATCTGTATATATGTTGTTTTTTGTTCTACTATTCAAATCACAAAGTGGTTTCAGTTGAAAATAATGCATAAGGATCTCAACTGTAGTGCTGTTTTCGAATAAAAACTGAATTTACAAGTTTGAAGTTTCATGTAGTTTACAAATTATAAGATATCTACAATAATATTTTCTTTAAACAGGTTGTATCTTATAGACACCTATGGATAAATAATGTAAGCATCTTATTTAATAGATAAATGTGTTTAAATTAGACATATGAATGTTCTTACAAAGAGTTACATTGAACTATATTTTTTACCTGTAAACCACTGACTTGTCTTCGAATATGAGCTAGGCCACTGGGGTTCGCTGCCATACTTGCAAATACTAGCCTTTCCTCGTAGTCGTACTCGCAAAGTATCTTGTTGTCACACAAGTAGAATCTGTCACCTACGCAGAACCTGCAAATGGCTGTCTCTTTACATTCTGCAATTCCAACATCCACTTACAGTGATTTCCCGTGAGTAACAATAACTTTTATTACTGTACGAAAATTACAAGGATGAACATAAATATAATGTACCCTTTGTTTAATTTACAACATCCCATCTGCAGATACGTATGTTCATAATTCTATGATATTATGTTTCCATAGTCATTGCTTATTTACGTATATAAAATGTCCACTGATAATTATAATTATTAAAAAAAGAATAATTATAAACCTAATTTTTGAGTTACAAACAGCTTTGAGTTGAATAATGACTTGATGATTGTTTTTAGAATTATGAGTATTAAGAATTGTTGATAGATAATAGCTTCAGTTGACTTAAATTGTTACCTTAATTTGGATGAATATATTATAATAGAATATAGAAGTATAACATTATGAAATTTATATTAGTTATACGTGAGTATGTCCATTTATAAATTACTAAAACACATACCTATGATTGCATTGTTGACAGGCGAAACATTCTAAGTGGTAAACGAAACTCTTAGCTCGCATAACCATTTCGAAGGCGGGAATGACTTTGTTGCACGCCACACAATTGCCTGTGGCACCAAATAACCTGTTAAAAAATAACAGGATAATAAATGTAACAAGTACTTAGTAATAGTTCAAAATATTCAAGTTTGTTTTAAGATCAGTAAAAAGAGAGTAAGATTAAAAATAATATTTAGTTTATTGGGAGGTTGTCAAGAGTTGCAATAATATTTAGGCGAGTATATCTATGAAATAAAGATCATTTATCAAAATTTAAAATAAATAAAGATAATTGACAAGTCTGAAAAGAAATCACCTGGGCAAAATAATTACCCCTTTATTCATAAAAACTAAAATCTCCTACAAACCTATTTTAACTATATCATTGTTTTGTCATTTTCTATCAAATTGAGAATAGAATATTCAGATATATAAATTAGTGTTAAAATAAGAGACAAAATAATTATTAACTAAAACAGGTTTATGAGCACTTTGAGGTTTTTATGAATAAGGTGATTATAGTCAAAAACAGTTTAATAATAATTATATTTATGTGAATGATTTTTTATCATAAAACACACATAGATGGTTTGTTGATTTGTATTTAGTTTTTTTGACATACAAAATGGAGCATCTTTTCTTCAATTGATAGTTTTTAGGATATTTTTGACACTGGATACTCTCTCAAGTCAGATTTATATGATCTAATATAAAATATTAGCTATAAACGAGTTATAATTAAAACTAATTATAAATACATATTTACAATAGCTTGATTATATTACCTAAGATAGTCCCTCTTACAGAGCATAAGGTCAGCTTTGTAATATAGTTTGGAGCCGACTTCACCGAGGCGGCAGTCGCAACAACCACATTTGAGACAGTCTTCGTGCCAAAACCTCTCCATTGCCTTCAGGAGAAACCTTTCGGTGATTACTTTCCCACACTGCGCGCAGAGCCTCGCGCCCCCCGTGTTACCCGCGACACTGCTATTGAGCCCATATTTAGTTTCTTCTTGTTGACCTGTGAAGATGATTAAAGTTAGCTCTATTTCTTTTTAATAGAAGTGCAAGGGGAAGTTTTTTTTATACCTACTACGGCGGCAAACAAATATACGGCTCATCTGATAGTAAATTTGATGCTATTTATGTACAAGTAACAAATTATTTACTGTGAACTTTTGACGTAGTGCGAATGTCTTCAAAAGTTATGGTAAACTAAGATATACAGATTTAAATGTCCGTGCTTTATAAGAATCGGGATTTAATTCATGTAGCGCGAAAGTCTTAAAGTATCTATATTTTATATTTTTCATCAGAATAGGTATGTTACCATTAGAATTTATCCAACGCATTTCACTAGTTTTAACTTGAAAATGTAAAAAAGCTGATTTAGAATTTGGAACAATAAAAAAATAATAAATAGAAAATAAACAAGTATATGATATCATAAGTAGATAACGTTTTTAATTAGGTATACCCATATGTATTTTTATAAATAGATTGAAACAACTCATTTTATGGAAATAATTATTTAACCACACAGTGGAAAATAATGGTAAATTTAAATTAAAGCTTGGCGCGTAAGTAATGAATTCTGTTTCGTTGAAAACAAGTGGGTAATTGTTCGTAATATGCGACTCATTATAGCATTAAGCTAGACTCGATTGTTTTCTACTGAATAATTACGTCAATTAATTCGAGCATAAGCGCAGTGCGTGACACGCACTCGTTGCTGACGTCATTAACATGCGCATACACATTTTTCTCACAGTGGAAAAAAGAAACATTGTATCATAATAAAAGTAATATATTCACTCTATAAGGTTAAATGACATGTTTACTATTTGAACAAATGCATTGCGTGTGCGAATTGCCTCCACCATAAATAAATGGATCGTCTTTAATAAACAATCAGTTCCAATTTATCGGCACGTCGTCGTCCACATAATAATATTGCGTACGTCAAACCAATCAAGGATCCAATTGAAGGGGTAACTAGGTGGACATAACTCATCGCAATCGATCACTTGCGCATCGGCCTCCGACGGGCGACGCCGATGGCCGATACATCTCGTTTATTGAAGCCGACATCGCGACAATAAAGTTAATTGGAGTTTATTAATGACGGCTCGTTAATAAGAAAATAATAAAGATGACGTATTGCCTCGGGGCGTCGCAATTTCTAATTAGTACGCTGCAGGGGAGCTAAAGTACCCACGTACCTACGCGCTACGGCCGCCGCCCACTCCATCGTCCTATCGCGGATTACCTCGCGTGTAAACACAATAAATACACAGTGATAGCTATTATTAATTAATTTGATATATTTAACAGGGCTATGGATTGTATCTTGTATCAAATATTCAAGATAATATTCCCTTAGTGCATGCATGTTTCAAAGTTTACTTGATAGGTACGTACGTCAAATATTTGAATGAAAAAAACCACAATGAAAAATCATTTAAGTCACTTTAACACTTTGGCCTGTAATTAAGATATGAAGGTAGGCAGATAAATATATATTAGTATCATAATTAGGCATATAGGGTGTTCTACTTTTATAAAAACGAATAAGTAATATACCTAATGTATACGAGTATATATGCGTAAAGTAAATCTTATCATTTTCTTTAGTTAAATCATCATAATCATCATTATCAGCATATCAGTCCACTGCTGAATATAGGTCTCTTCCTAATGGGAGGGTGGTGGGGGGAGAGGATTGTTCAGTTCCCATCCATATTAGTTATTCATATAAGATTATAAATCTAATGAGTGAATTCAAGTTGGAATTGCATGACCAAGTAAGTAGTCATGCAATTTTAACTTTGTTCTATGATTCGTTAAAGGTATTTACTTTATCAAAAATTTTATAACTAAAATTAAACTGACAATTTAATACATTTGGTTCATGTAATTTTTGTGTAAGTTATGCACCAATGGTAATCTAATTCCATAATAGTAAAATTTTTTAGACATAGACGAGCAAAATGATTCATTGAATTATTTGCTAACTCATTGCGGTTTACATTTTACTCGTGTTCTTGGAAAATTATTTTTAATACATTAAATAATAAAAACTCCATAGGTTTTACATTAGTACTAGCATTCAAGAATCTCCGTATTTTTCCGCAGAATTAATAAATTAAGGTGAGGCGTGCGGTAACTGCATGGCGTGTTTTGTCCATTTCAAGCGCATGCCGTTTATACCTGTAATTACTAACGACTGCACGTCAATCTAATGACCGGATCGATTATATCGATCTTTGGAATCTCCGCACTATATATGCCCCTGCGACTGGTAAGGTAATGGCGCACGCGTATGAAATAGGTAGTATTTATCTATCTTTACCGCAGACGCTTTAAGAATGATGACAGAGAATTAAACGTTAAATAATGCATCTCTTTCTTCATCCATTCTCATAACCCATCTTAGGCATACATGGAGATTCTCTTAATTTCTTCCTCATATAGTGACTACGATCTATCTCTGATCGTTAAGTACCCATAAAACAAATAATTTCATTTTATACGACCAGACTGTCCCATCTATATGTCAACGTAAAAACAATAAAATGAGAGTTAATCATGTGGACTGTACATAAATATCCGGGTGAAGGCGCTTCCTATTATTTCGTTTTATTACCATTGGGCCGAGAATTTGATAGAGACTTGGCTACCGAACTGGCGGCCAGTGTAATTTTGTCGACACAGCCATAGCTGCCGCCAACGTATTAAGGCGTTTAAATAAAAAGAAATCCGGAAATAATGAAATGTATTTAATTTCAGAGACTAGTATTTTTGGGATTCTATAATAAAAATGTATGTCATGAACCGTTATAATTTTGTCATGACAGTCTGTCTGGATCTCTGTTTAAGTTATATCATTATAACTTTTATAGTTGTATTTAAGGTTCGATATTCATTCATATTCATGTAACTACAAGAAAATAAATCAAATAATTTAGTAAAAAGTTTACTTTTGTTTCAAGACAAAAAGATAATTTCATTCAAATTCTCTCAGAAGTGCAAGCGTGATTCAGTTTAAACATCCAAATATAATCTCAAATCATATTTTTATTATTAGTTAATTAGAGAAGTTATATACATCCATGGTAGTAAACCAAATTGTGTACCCGCGTACGCCTGTTCTCTGGCCACTTCAGCTTAAAATTAATTTTCTAATTTTACCGCGAAATTACTTCTAAACACGGGATCTAATTGGAATCTGTAATGGCCTTTTGTTCCGAAACCCTTTCTTGGCGTAAAACTCATTTCCGAGTTAAGAGAACTCGTATGGAGGTACCAGAGTGGCGACGTGGGTTACCTACCTGATGTTCACACTTACATACTTCAATAAGCCATTATTATATTATTGTTAATTAAACTTTAAATAGATTTACAATGTAAATTAATTAAATTGCAATTTATTACAGTATTACATTATAGATATTACACGAATAGAAACTAAATTGCTGTTAATCGGGTTATTAATCTCTCCAACTCATAGAATATTCATTTATAAACTAGACCAATACTTGTAAGATTTAGTATAAATTTTCCTACGGAAGCTAATTTCCGGTAAGTATAAATTTAAATCTAGGATATTCTCTATGTACCAAATTTCAGCCATTCTTGTCTACCTTATTATTGTTTTATAATCTTTTTTATTAAATGCTTCAATCACTATTAAATTATGTATTTTCCTGACAATAAAATGTAAACACTCTCAATGTTACTTTATTGATCATTATACCATCGTCATATTAGCCGTTTACTGCCCACTACCGAACATAGGTCTCCCCTACGAGGTGGAGGTTTGCCAGTAGTGGCCGTGTTACTTTATTGATAATAGTGAACAAACGTAGTACGTACTTTACTAACACAATTTTTTCAAAGCATTAAAAATGTAAAAAAATATTATGTAATAAAAAACTTTAGAAACTCAAAAAAAAAACAGATGTAATATTAATAGGAAGTATGTAGATAAAGTAATTTATAAAGATGTTTAGATATCTAAAACATTTATGTTTAATAGGACATTAGCACCTATATTTTAAAATAAGTAATAAAAGTAAGGTTTCCCTTATTTGCAATTTTAATTTTAAATGCAGTACCGGATAAGTTATAGATATTTATTAATATTTGCATTCGTTAATAATCAGTCGATTACATTCCACTGTTACTTATAGCAAGTAGTCATGCGTTCGATTTGAACGCAACATTAGAATTCCTTTGATTCAATTACGAGAAATGCCAGGTTATTGTAATGAACCCGCATCAAAAGCGGTACACAATCGTTCCATGCAATTTGCACTCGTTCATTGCGTTTTGCAATTAACTCGCCCTCTCTCTACCAGTATTATGCCTACCTAATGCTTATTCGGTATATCTACTGTATAAATTTGAATTCCTTTATAATCGTGTAATTCCCTATTATTATATCATTAGCATTATCCAAAGTTACATTTACATGGAAAAATTAATTCAAATAAGTCACTCTTACAACTTTGTCTATCTTATGGTACTTAACCAATTATGTTCTGGAATAATTTTGATTATATATGATATTTATTATTGAGATTGTTTTATAGACCACTGCCAACATTTATTTCTCATATTGGTGTCCGAGTGTAATGTTCTTTTCGGCGTCCATTTAATGATTGCTCTCTGTCTGTATTGTATTCAACAGACAGTTTTTACTGACTTCAGAAAAGGGGGTTATCAATGGTTGTTGTATGCATGTTACACATTATGTTGTGCTTTGTTGAATAATAATGAATGAGTAAAGCCTATGTGAATAATTATAATACAGAATAAATATTCATATGTAGTAAAATTAATGTAGTAAATAACTGTTAAAATGATTTTTTGAAGAAGCCTCTAATATTGAGGACTTTATTTTGTGGAAACTACTGTCCAGATTTTGTTGAAACGTAACTTCACCGTAATCAGCCAATCGAAAATAATTATTGTGAGTTATAAATATAAATTACCAATGCAAAGTGAAGTGGTATACTTAATTAATTTGTATAATGACTGTGGTTGCAGCTGCTCTAAATACTCATATAATTTATTTAGAGTTAGTAGTCGGTCACTCATTAAACAATGGAGTTGATTGCGTTGTTGCGATATCCATTATGCGGGCGTAATTAGATTTAACCAAATGCGGGTTTTACATTAATACTGACCCGAATGTAAAAAATTAACAAGTAGGATGTTTGCCCTGAATCGTCTGAGTTTACCTGCATTTGCTGCAAATCATACTTATCGTGTTTACATTGCGACATGCTAATTTATGATAATTGCACCTGCAGTTACTGACTATTCCACATATTGATAAAAGACAGTACCACAGATGTAGTATAATTTTTTTTAATACAAGATGAGTTTTACGCTTGATCTTATATCATTTAATAGTAAGTAATGATGAGATCTAGGGTGAAGCGTGCTTACCCAAAAGATACTTATTTACTATCGACTTGAAGAGCCTCAGATTTTATTTCTCCAGAAATACAGAAACAGGAAGGGTATTCCATTACTTAATAGTTCGCTTTTGAAACGAAGAGGCGAATCGCTTCGTGCGGGTCTGTGGAATTTTACCGACGTAATTTATTTACTTGGTACTGTAAATTAAAAATCTATACCTACATAGTTATAACTTACTGTAAGGTACTATTAGTCATTTCCCGAATAATTACATGACGATTCGGAACGCAGTGATCTGTTTGGTCGTATCTGTAGGTCGACAAGTGGCATGGGGTATTTAAACTATGCCTGTACTCTATATCTGATAATTGCTAAACTTCAAATCATAAGGTGTAAAAAAAAATTAATAAGAGCCTATTATATCTCGTCCATGACGATGGACGATAGTCCCACGTCAGGCTCCACACACCCCGCTCCTAAACCCACCATCATCGTTAACATTTCCGTTATTAAAAAAGTACGAGACTTTGTCATCAGAGAAGTTAGTTTTTTTTTTAATTAAAATTATGAAATTGATATTGCCTTAACGCCGGTGCTCCCTTCCCAACTCAAGCTTCAGAAAGTTTAAATTAATTTTTGAATTAAACCTAATAGCAGTGGTAAACGATTTCAAAGAGTTTCATTTTTATTTTCTGTTATTAAATATTACAAGTAAATGTCAAAGACCTTAGACAATTTTGATACTGAAGAATGTTCACTTCGAACCTAATAATATGTGGTACGTACAGGGAAAGTAAACTCATAAATAAACTCGTGTTCAATATGAACAAAGGATTACTTTGAAAACATTTATGTTACGTAATTTTGTATTCTCGAATCATTACAAGGAAAATCGCTTAATGGAGTTATTTAAAATATGGCGGATTGTAATTTATCATCTGATACGAAAAATATTGTGTAGGTAGTGAAGGTCCGTTGCGCGTTGAAGATTGGAGTATGTTTCTTATATTTTAATCAGAGTATTGCTTGTTTGTATTCGGCTCTCGGCCCGCCCGTCCAATACCCATTTACGATCGCGACTGCTACTAGTGTTGTGCTTCTACGTTTAATATTTGTCGATAATATTTCGTGTTCTAAGAAATTCAGAAATTAGGAACTTAACAATTTTTTATACTTAGTATATTTTTGAACTATTTATAAGCATTTGGTAGCAAAATATAATCTGGGTGATCATGTTTAACCAACCATGATTATAATGCCAGAAATATGTAAAACAATTAATTATTAAATTTTCTCTGCCTTACTGTTTCCGAAGAAACATAAATCGAATAAGAATAAAACATTTAGCTTCCCGCATTGACAGCTACACATTACTTTTAGTATTACCTTTATAGAGAGATCATTGGCACCTACAATTTTATAAAATACTCACCACCATTGAATTCAGCTACCATTGCAGTCAAGTAATTCTTTTTTTTTTAAATGTGAAATAGTAAATATAGGACTGTTTAGACAGATACTAAATGAAAATAAAAGGGTAATAAATCTCTGCACTAAGGAAATAGATATGTACCAACCGAGCAATTTATACGAGACTGCGGCGCAACCAATAAGTTCGTATTCTTAAGCGTAAACCCCACCTACTGTCACAGTTACGTGACGTCTATGTCCATGATACATTGTATCCCCAAACGACAATCAAACGTGTACAAAGTCGAGACAATCTACGTCATAAATTATTTTCTCAGAGAAAGGCTCCGGGCGAAACTTAAGCCTGACATAAGTGGGCAATAAACTTCAGCCAATTTGGAGATTCGCATCTGGAGGCTCTTATTAAAGCCCGAAAGTTAGTCCTTTTCATCCATCACTCGTAATACGTGTGTGAGTTATTGTATGAAAAATTGAAGAATAAATTGAGTCGCTGCAGCAGCGGCGAGACATAAATCCCAACTGAGCCCTCAATATTGTTTTAAAGGGGAAGTGGCCATAAATTTTATCAGGGCCGCCCAGAGCCGCGGGCGCCGGGCGGCGGCGTCGCGCTCGCTACGCTACGACGCGCTGGGCCGCCACCGTTGCCTCGCTACAGTGCCGCCACCGCCATTGCTACAGCCGCCGTCGCCGCCACCGCCACCGCCGCACTATACCCGCAATTTTCCGCCATTGCTCCTACTGCATTCGATGCTCATGTGAATTTGTTGTGTTATTTCTAGTGAAATTGAAATCCTTCTCGTGGATAAATGCTATCATGAAAACGCAGCATCGATTTATGTTGCACTGCCGGAATATATTCTGATCTCTCTATTTACAAATTCATTTCAAATTTTACTTTAGAATATTTTTTAATCTATTATAAAAGAAGCTATATCTAGTTACCACGCCATCCTGAGTAAACACAGGGACAATAATTGGCACATGAAATCAAAGAAAAGAGAATGTTCTAATTTTTCTCGGTTGGCCATTATAGTTCAATTCATTTAAGTATCTAATAAATTACTATATGGCTATTTATAGATTATTTGGTATTAATTGTATATCGAATTTTGGCCATTGGAATGTTGTTCTATTTTTCATATAGCCTAATATTATAGCTTACAAATGAAATAAAATCATAATAAGGAATTCGGAGACGTGGCTAAAATTAAAAGAGATTTCCTAAATGTTTACTATATATATATATATATATATATATATATATATATATATATATATATATATATATATATATAACTATGTAAGGGTTTTGTCAGTAGTTGCCATGCTTGGCAGATGGGTTGCAACCGCAGTTAGGATTTGGTGACGTTTTAAGAGAGTCGTAGCTACTCGTACACCTCTTGTGACACCCACGGAATAGGAAGAGGTAGCCTAGTGTATGCTAAAACCACACGATATAAATATTATATAATTATTATATAATAAAAATTACTAAGTAGTTATGTTAAAACCTAAAATTAAAACAGTGCCTGTCATAACAAAAAAAAACAATAAACACATATCTACTATATCAACCTTAGTCGGCTATATCCATAATACAAATCAGAATAATCACATAAGATCACAAGATTAAAACTACAATCAGGACAAAAAAACGTGCTCCTTGGAGAATATTGTGGGGCACAATAAAAAATCGCTTATTTTTATCAATATGATCTGGGTGTTGGACATTTCGCATAAATGTGATATTGCAATATCGTTCGTCCCCTTTTTAATATCGCGACGGACGCTGCCGGCCGGTTTATGGCACAACCCTTCCCGCGTTTTATTCGCGACCTGTTTGTCCTAATATTATGAAAAATTTACGTCAGCAAAACGAAAATATCATGTTGCTTATATTTTTTGTGTTATTTCATTTTAAATATAACAGTAGATATATATTAATATAGTAACAAATAATTCATAATTACATTTCATATCGGTACAAACCAAACTGTGATGATAGAGACTATGCCAAATTTTTTCTATATAAATATAATTAATGGTAAACAAGTTCAGAATTGTCTGTCTCCCAGGCTAGAATGGGCCACCTCTTCCTTTCCCGTGAGTGTCATAGGAAGCGACTAAAGGAACTTAATGGTCGAGAGATTAACAGCAGCGTCCCTCTTAAAACATCACCAAAGTCGACCTGCGGTGCCAACCTGTCTACCAAGCGTGGCAACTACTGGCAAAATCTCTCAGTAGAGAGAGGCGTATGTTTAAGAATGAACAGTTAATAACTGATATAATGATGATAATGAAATTAGTATTCAAAGACAATAAATTTATGAAATAAATGCTTTAGTAGGTAAAATAGCTAGATAAGTCATTTGGTATCACAATAATGATTATCGTGCTTAACTTATTTACTATTATTTATATAAAAATCAACGCTTATTACTTACGTATTAATGTTTTTTACTGTTAAAATAAAAAATTTAATACCAAATGTATCGAATAAGAAATGTGAAAGTCAAGGAAGTGATAAATAAATAAATACTCACTATTTGTGTTGTCGGGTTTATGCATGGCCGGGGGGTCTCGAATCATAGTGGCGAGGACTCGTCACTCGCGCATCACAACACTAATCTTCTGAAACAATAAAGAACGAAATATTATAACTTTTAACATCAAATTACTGTAAATCTTGTAGTAAAATTACAAGGGTCTTATATATCCCGCATTATTGCATTGTATCCAATTATAATAAAAAATACTTTATCTTATTTATAATCTGTACTTTGACAACTTTGGAGGTGTAATGGACCTACTGATAGTTGCAGGTTCAAATCCAACACACTTTTTGTAAATATATACATATTATATATAAACAACACTGAAAATAGAACAAATAGACATATCTATAAAAACTAATGTTTGTGTTGCAAGAAAATTGAACCTGCGACCATAGTATGATGAGGCAGTATGTTAATTCGTTACACCACCAAGGTCGACAATTATAATAATTATGCAATATAATTCCTATTAATACCATAAATATGAAATTTTACATTGGAATTTTTTTATTCTTTTACTGAAAAACTATTAAACACATTCGAATGTAATTTCGTACACAGGTAGGTTACTTTATGTATTGATTTACGTAGGTAAAGCCGCAAAATACAGCTAGTTATAATTAAGTAAATGCTAAATTACTTAATGCTCATTCAGAAATTTAGCATTAAGGTGAAAATTTTAAAACGTTTAATGGAATTATAAAAATATTTGCTTTGCTCTTAACTTTGTTTGTGTGACTGAATTATATCAACTGATCAGAATAAAAAAAAATGAATATTCTTATCGATATCAAATATTATGTGTATAACAAATTGCGTGACTCCTTCATTAAGGTGTCAAGTGGTAACAATCAAATAAACAAACTCTTATTTATATTTAGAATAGAATTTAATTGTACATATAGAATAAATAAAACGTTAAAAATGTTCGAAATGTAAATAAAAATTATTATTAAAATGTTTACCTACCTTCCTATTTACTTCAACATGTAATTTAGATTTTATAACAGCCGATTGGAATATCAAATTCTGCTATCACTTTTATTATTAAATTTAATGAAAATGTTTACGACACATGACTGCGTAGATAATTATTATTCGTTAATCTGTACGTGTACAACAAATACAACATAACTCTAAGTTCATCATAAACAAACAAGGTGTCATTAGATCAATTTTCTCTCGTTAATTACATTGTTTTATGATTTAATATACTTATAGATATATTTTATATTATACATGTCATTTTATTTACACACAAAATATAACTAATTTTAAATTGTAACGATTGTAAAATAACTTTAGCTTTTAATAATTCTAACCTATTTATAATCTGCTTTAACTGAAGTTAATAAAAATGAAAACAAAAAAATAATTCAACCGATGAATGAAATGAATGAACATGAAATGATAAAATAGTGTTCTGTTGTACTTATAATAAAACGATTAATAAATTGAATGATTTTATTTGTTACTAATATCATTCAGGCTATGTGACTAACCACTCGTAAAACAATGAAACGAAAAATAAATAATACAAATCATTGCAAATGTGAAATTTAGATTTCAAACAGATTTATTGTTTAGAATTTTTGCTAAAGCAATACACTAGAGGGATGGACACAACACAAGCAGCACGCTTCTCGTAGCGAAACCTCATTAGAATAAACGATATCCTCTCCTTACGTCCACTCCGCGCGAGACCTTATTACTCCGACAAACTGCCGTCAAACGGCAACAGCCAGTTGCTGAATTCAGTCCCAATTTGAACTCTACCATCTAACCTTAAGGTCTCTTTTTCAAGGAGAGTACTATATCAAAAGCCAATTCAAGAATAGTCTGCCTTAGAAACATGTCTTAGAGTCTAATATTAAATGTAATGTGAATAACAAACACACTATTATATCGGTATCCCTTGAAGGTTGAGACGTCCATGCAAAGCTGTAAATTGAAACTTGAGGGAGGCATTAATAACTCTTGTGGGTTGATTTAACTATTCCTCTTATGTTTTATTTAAAGAGATATTAATCAAATTTTAATTAATGTGTTATTAATTTACTATACTTTTAGCCATTTAGCTTTTATAACTCCTAAAAAGATTTGTTACCTAATTCAAATACTCAATTTATTATGTAGGATATGTTTACATTTGCCGTTATCTTATATAGTACTAATAAGTCTTAAGTTTTAATCCCACTAATATTATAAGTGTGTAAGATTAAATGGTTTTTACTTAATAATGCTTTAAATAAATTTTCGTACCTACGTTACTACTGGTGGTAATTCTATATACCCCATTTAAGTAGGTACCTTTACGTTAAATGTGTAATTAAATAGCGTAATCTTTACTATTAAGTGGTAAGGGATATAGCTATACATATAACCATTAAAACAGTCTCTTTGATACGAGTATAACGTACAAAATGGCGAAAGGCTATTGACATGGTTGCTCTCGTCGCTGCTCTAGAGTCTGCCATCCTTAATACGGCCCATAAACGGAGATCCGTTTCGTTGCAGTTCCACAAACAGCTTACAATATCTAATAAGGCCCATTTAATATTTAACAAACATATCTAGCACTTATAATAATTTGAACTTAGAATAAGTAAATATTTCTAATAATAAAAAAACAATATTCAACAAAAAATTCTAAAACTATATAAATTTTTAGTCGCATGTATCAGACAAAATATTTAGTATAAAGATGAATAAAAAAAATAGAATTCACTTTACTTCTCACGAAGCTAGTAAAGATAACGAAAAAATACTTGTTTTGATAAAATTTGTATAGAGTCAAAACTACATACACAAATTAGATTCACATAGCTCATAATAACACACTATATTGTATTTATTATGAAAGTTACACAAAAAATATTGTCTTCCATTCTCTGGCAATAGAATTAAAAGTAATGAATGCTAAGAAACGATTTCCAAATTATTATAATTATGTTTTAGATTATAAAGATAAACGGTGTCTCTTACAGTTTCTTTCCAATTGTGTTCGTTTGCAATTATGACAAAAAGTAATTATGGAGATACGCCAACTTTATTCTGTGTTTTAAAATCAATACAAAGACGCGACCCCTCAAAACCCATTTAAATAAAGCAATCGTATTCATAAACGATAGGTATTTGGATTCATAAAATATTTAGATACAATGCCAATCGTTGAAATAAAAATACATATAAAAACAGAATACGCTATCAAACTCAAGTGGAATGAAAAAAATTTTATAACCGCATCGAAATTCCCATCAGCACCTGTTACAAAGGCAGCTATCAAATTACCCGCGACATATCCGCGGCGAAGCGAGCGCGCCTCCATCCATAAATACGGTATTCGTTATGCATTTCTCATATTCATGAATCCGTTTTATTGGCCCCAATAAAATATGAACATCTCAGAATGGATATGAGAGAGCGGGCAAATCTAATATGGATTGCGCCGGATTCGGTCCGATTAGCGGGCGGGGCAGCCAGCTGCGCCGCCGCGAATACTTTCGGCGCCTTAGTTTAGCAGAGGAGCTGCGTAATAATATACTTAGCACTTTTTTTTTATTTTGTAACTATTATAGAAAAAATCACATTATCAATATTAGTTTAGCTTGACAAACGTTGTCTTGTCCAGATACCAATATAGTTTGTTATTGTTTTGAGAATTTGTAATAAGTTATTAGAAATATATTTACTTAAGTGAAAATCTATTTGACTTTTTAAACACTCAACCAACTGTCATGAAATTTTAAATGCACGTACTAAATGGAATAAGGAAGGGCATAGTCTACTATTTATTCCAGTCAATGGACATATTCCTGTCACGTGGATGAAATCGTGTGGCCACCGATGATCAATTTAACGAGGAGTATATTCGAAAGTAGGTGCGTACGCTATAGAAAAAATTTATATGCCAAAAAAATTTTTACCGTAAGCGTGGACTGCGATAAACTACAACAGAATTACAAATTAACTTAAACTTAAAACTGAATAAATTTGTGACTCGCCTATTTTCCCTAATGGCTTTAATTGAACTATCACTTATAAAATATATATATATATATATATATATATATATATATATATATATATATATATATATATATATATATATATATATATTGTCGCACTAAACAACCGACAGAAAAAGCAGTTTTCTTCACTGACTTGTCAAAAATTCAGCAGAGTACTGGGATAAGTGGAATTGATGGGAGAGTCTCGGCTCTGGATAAAATATTCTACGTCAAACAGTACGTCACTGGCTCTCGACTTGTTCTCGTCGAAAGTGCTTCGCGGAAGTCTCTTATTTATTCCCTTTTACGTCAGCCATAACACCGCTCTTTTGTGCCCTTTCCGATTTATAAGCGTCCATTAGGGTTCTTTATAACGCAAAAGAAAGTTTGAATACTCACAACCGCAATCTGAAATTAAATCGTAAAGCCTATCGGTGTTATTAAATTGTAAAATATGTTATGTGAGAAATATTATTTTAAATAAATCATTCAAAGTTACTAAAGCACCCGAGTTCACTCACACTTATAAATTTACAAATGCAGAACTGCCTATTTCGATACATTTACACTAACTAGAGAGAAGTGAAATCCATTAAAGGCATTTTCAGTAATTTGGGGTTCGCGGGTGGAGACCATAATCGAGGTGGGGCGAATTCTATAGAGTGGCAACTAGCAGCAGTATTTGCATTATCTTATCTATACAATCAATTATAATATATAGTATTAGATTTTAATTCTCCTCAGCTATCAATTAACTACGTATTAGCCATCGTCAGGGGGGGGGGTAACGAAACATGGATATAACTCACAGTTCTTTTGTTAAATGTATATTAAGTTTATATATTTATAACTTCAATTAATAATTATTTAGGTATTCATTAATTGAAACTGTTATTTATAGATGTTATTAAATAAAGTTTACAAAAGTAAGTAAGTAGTACGATTTAATCTATTAATGTCGAAGTAATCTGTTAGACACTCCCTTCTGACTCCGCACTGATCGAATTCATTATTCACCGGCAGAGAGCAATTAAACCTCCACTAATCAATCTCAAACTTCAGGCAA